CCGGGTAAATGTGTTACTTTTCCCGCGCCAGCACCCGCGCATGCGCACGGGGCTGGCGACAGCCTGTCTGGTCCCGGGCAGCTTTGCACCTGCCCGGGACTGCCCGCAAACGCCCGAGCCGTTTGCAAGGCTCGGGACATAACAGTAACTGTGAGAGGGATCTTGGAGTCCTAGTGGACAATCACTTAAATATAAGCCAGCCATGAGCAGCAGCCACCAAGCCAATGCAATCCTAGGCTGCATTAACAGAGGGATAGAATCAAGATCACGTGACATTCTAGTACTCCTTTACAGGTAATCCTCGCGGTACGATAGAACATTTAGTGACTGTTCAAAATTACGACAGACCTCCCAAAAGCTACGTATGACCCATTTTCAAAGTTACGAATTTTACAGAAGCCAACCGGTCATTCACACTTAAAAATGATCTGGTGGCTTCTGTAGAATTCGGAAGTTTGCAGAGCTTAGCTATCTCTCCCCCCCCCACATCCTTACACTTCCGGGTCCCCAAAGGCACTGCTTTGCCCCCCGTTCCACCCCTCCCAATCCCTTGCTTACCTTCTGAAGATCTGCAGAACTCAGTGTGGGAAGTCAGCCCCCCCCCGAGAAAGAAATATTTTGGGGACTATTAAAAGGCAGAATATTATATTTCCCCAAAGGAGATTAAAGGCAGAAACACCCGCCCCCCAAGTCTCTCTGCCCCAAATAGAAACCAGGTGGCAGAAATGCAGATGTGATAATCTTGTCAGAAAGATTGGAGCCAGGAAGATGGGATTAGAAAAACAAAGATCTCTAGAATCGACAATCCCTCACTCCCAAAAACATCTAACACAGGACTTAGTCATCAGCCCCAGGAAAGCAAGATATGACCCTTGGGGCATAATAGGATTAACCCACCACCATCAGACTACCAGAAAGGCACGCTCAGATTCGGGTCAAAGTTCATGCCACAGGAACAACCCCAAACAAAAGCTCAAGAAGGTATAAAAACTCACTCCCTACTACATGTGGTCACTTTTTTCCAGCGTCATCTTTCTGTCTGGCTCTCCTCTTCAATAAACTACAATCTTCTTTTAAAGCAGTCTGCATTTTGTTTATTCCCAGCTTGGACTGGACTGATGAAGATTTTACTTTCAACATCAGGATATGGGGGAAGGGAAGGAAAGTACTTGTCCATTCTTGCTGGGTCACACAGAGTGGCTGTTTGAAACCTGACCTGGACTGGTAAAGCAACTCTTCCCCCTCCCTCTGCATCGCCTCTTTAACTCAACACAGCACAATGAGACAAAGTTTGTGCTTTGCAGTTTCTATATTGCTTGGATGAAAAAGCACATTTTAAACCAGAGCTGGAGAAACAGGACTCTACTGACACGGAGAACAGGCAATGAAGGGTTAAAAGTAAAAGAAGCCATTTGAAACCTGATCTGGACTCCTGGGCTGAGTGAGGCAGCTCTTTCCCTTCCCTCTGCATCACCTCCTTAACTCTTTGAACATGCTGCATAGGGTGATCCAGGATGAGGGATCTTTCACTTAATGATTCAATTGACTTGAACACTGGGCACTAACTAACAAAATGAAATTCAATGGTGAAAAAAGCAAGGTTCTACATTTAGGCAAGAAAAACCAAATGCACAAGTACAGCATAGGTGGCACCATGCTCAATAGTAGTAACTGTGAGAGGGACCTCGGAGTCCTAGTAGACAATCACCTAAATATGAGCCAGCAGTGTGCTGCAGCTGCCAAAAAGGCCAACACAGTGCTAGGCTGCATTAACAGAGGGATAGAATCAAGATCACGTGAAGTATTAATACCACTCTTCAATGCCTTGGTAAGGCCACACTTGGAATACTGCATCCAGTTTTGGTCACCACGATGTAAAAAAGATGTTGAGACTCTAGAAAGAGTACAGAGAAGAGCAACAAAGATGATTAGGGGACTGGAGGCTAAAACATATAAGGAACGGTTGCTAGAATTGGGTATGTCTAGTTTAACGAAGAGAAGGACAAGGGGGGACATGATAGCAGTATTCCAATATCTCAGGGGCTGCCATAAAGAAGAGGGAATTAAGCTATTTTCCAAAGCACCTGAAGGCAGGACAAGAAGCAACGGGTGGAAACTAATCAAGGAGAGAAGCAACCTAGAACTAAGGAGAAACTTCCTGACAGTGAGAACAATTAATCAGTGGAACAGCTTGCCTCCAGAAGCAGTAAATGCTCCAACACTGGAAGTTTTTAAGAAGAGACTGGACAGCCATTTGTCCGAAATGGTGTAGGGTTTCCTGCCTGAGCAGGGGGTTGGACTAGATGACCTCCAAGGTCCCTTCCAACTTTACTACTATTATTATTATAATTAACATCCTCCTGCCTTGCGACCAAAATGGGCAGCCTCCATTACTGTCGTAAGTCGAGGATTACCTGTATAAGGCCTTGGTAAGACCATATTTAGAATATTGCATCCAGTTTTGGTTACCACAATATAAAAAAGACGAGACTCTAGAACAGTGGTTCTCAACCTGTGGGTCGGGACCCCATTTGGGGTCGAACGACCATTTCACGGGGGTCGCCAAACAATGCAGTCCGCCATTTTTTCCCCCTTTTCCTTATCTGTGCTACTCCCTTTTATTCTATTGGCTTTTGAAAGCCAATAGAATAGACTCTCTTGAATAGAGTCTAATTCTATTGGCTTTCAAAAGCCAATAGGAATTGTCCAGGCTGTCTCTGCCCTGCTGAGCCCGCCAAAAGCCCCAGTCTGCAAACGGTGCTGCAAGTTGTCTGCAGCGAAGGTGAGCTGTCTGGAAGTTTCCACTCCTCCCTGCTGAGCAACTACTAAAAATGTAAGTAAAAGAGGGCCAGGCGTGGGAGGTGGGAAGCCGGTGGGTGCAGGGAGGGTTGCTGGCGCGCCTGGGGCCCGGCGGGTGCTTTACCTCCCTTGGGCTGGGCCAACTGGTGGCCCAGCCGGTGGTCGGCCTGCACCATCTCTGCCGCTTGCCAGCTACGCTTCGGCTGGCGCAGGGGGCGGCACCACGCATGCGTGGCACTCCCGGGCAGGGAAAGTCCTCAACGTACGACCAGTTGGGTAGTCCTCGACGTACAACCGGTTGGGTAGTCCTCGACTTACGACTGGTTGGGGTCACGGCATTAAAAAGGTTGAGAACCATTGCTCTAGAAAGAGTACAGAGAAGGGCAATAAAGATAATTAGAGGGCTGGAGGCTAAAACATATGAAGAATGGCTCCAAGAATTGGGGTGACATGATAGCAGTGTTCCAATATTTGAGGGCTGCCACAAAGAAGAGGGGGGGAATCAAACTATTTTCCAAAACACCTGAAGGCAGGACAAGAAGCAATGGATGGAAACTAATCAAGGAGAGAAGCAACCTAGAACTAAGGAGAGACTTCCTGACAGAATAAACCAGCGGAACGACTTACTTCCAGAAGTTGTGGGTGCTCTGTTACTGGAGGCTTTTAAAAAAGAGACTGGACAACTATTTGTCTGAAATACTGTACGGTCTTCTGCTTGAGCAGGAGGTTGGACTAGAACAGTGATTCTCAACCTATGGGTCAGGACCCCATTTGGGGTCGATCGACCATTTCACAGGGGTCGCCAAGCAGGGCTGTCCGCCATTTTTTCCCCTTTTCCGGCGGGTGCCTTACCTCCCTTGGGCTGGGCCAGCTGGTGGCCCAGCTGGTGGTCGGCCTGCTCCGTCTCTGCTGCTTGCCAGCTACGCCTCGGCCGGCACAAGGGGTGGCACCATGCATGCGCGGCGCTCCTGGGCAGGGAAAGTCCTCAACTTACAACCGGTTGGGTAGTCCTCGACTTATGACTGGTTTAGTCCTCGACGTACGACCGGTTGGGGATCACGGCATTAAAAAAGGTTGAGAACCACTGGACTAGAAGATCTCCAAGGTTTCTTCAAACTCTGTTATTCTGTTAATTCTGAACAGTTGCCATTGGGGCTATAGATACAAATTGTTATATGTGCAAAATGCAGAAATGGAAGGTTCCATTCCAGGGAAGCTCAAAACAAGAAGAGGCTGATTTTGAAGAAGTACAGCAAAGAACAGGAGATAGACAAATATATTCTTTCAATCTTTTGTTACATTTTATTAATAAAATTTAAAAACATACATTTTTTCATTGCCTACTTCCATTGGACTAAAAGCCATTATGCTGTTTCCCATAGAAATATCACTTTCAGTTATACAAATTTGAATGAAGCAACCATTTTGTGGGATTCTGTAACTAAATTAAACAAGACCTATCTGTATGACTTCTATCCAAATACAGATTTGCTAGCACTAAAAGGGATCACCCCAAGCCTGGAAATAAAATGGGGGCTACTTAGGAAAGAAGGTTTATTAATGAGCAGAACAAGTAACAGCATGCAGTTCTGGGACAGCTGACAAAATGGCTGAGTGAGTGGATGGATCTTTATTAAGGCTCTGATTGAGATGCTCCAAGGAGTTGTGCAATGCAGTGAGCCTTGTGTCAATGGTGGTGGGTTAATCCTATTATGTCCTAAAGACCTATGGAAAGAATCCAGAAAAAGAAATATTTTGGGAAATATTAAAAAGGCAGAATATATTTCCTCATAGGATCTTAAAGGCATAATTCCTCCCCCAAGTCTCTCTGCCCCAAACAGAAACCAGGTCTGCAGAAATGCAGATGTGATAATCTTGTCAGAAAGATTGGAGCCAGGAAGATTGGAACTGATGAGATTAGAAAGACAAAGATCCCTAGAATCAACAATCCCTCACATCAAAAAAATCTAACATAGGACATAGTCATCAGCCACAGCCCCAGGGGAGCAGGATATGACCTTTGGGACATAATAGGATTAATCCATCACTATTAGAATACCAGAAGGGCACACTCAGACTCAGGTCAAAGTTCATGCCATAGGAACAACTCCAAACAAAAGCTCAAGAAGGTATAAAAACCCACCACTCCCTACTACATGTGGTCAATTTTCTCAGAGCCATCTTTCTGTCTGGCTCTCCTTTTCAATAAACTGCAACCTTCTTTCTAAAGGAGTCTCCATTTTGTTTATTCACAGCTTGGACTGGACTCTGATGAAGATTTTTCCTTCAACAAATCATATCCTGCCCTTAGAATTTGGGTGGAGGAATGTAATTTTTTAACCCCATCAGCTGTGGGGGCTGAAGGTGTTTTGTTTACGATTAGATTAGCCCAGTCTTTCTTAATAGGTACAAAATATCCATCTCTAAAGACTTGAGGCTTCTACTTGAGGCCTATTAAGAAAGACTGGGGCTGTTTTCTATCTTTCTTAAGATTTTTCTCCATTTCTCCTCTGGGAAAATATAATATCCTGCCTCTTTTAATATTAAGAATAAAGAATATTTTAATCTGGGGAGTCGGGGCTTCCTACACAGTGATACTTTATTTAACAAAACAAAAGAGGAAGCCAAGATGCTGCAACCAATATTAAAAAGGTGTAATAAAAGAGTAAGTTCTATAAAAAGTTATCCCGTGCCAAATTTAAACAAAGGAAAAATTGGCACATTGGTGTGTTTACTAAACAAGACAGTTGCTTGAAAACAGGATTCTGCATTTTCCACAGTGGAGTTTCCAGGGTCCAGGTTGCTACTTAACACAATACAAGAATTGTGCCCAGATAAGAAAAGCAACATCTCCTAGCACAGTGGTGGCGAACCTATGGCATGCGTGCCAGAGGCGGCACTTGAAGCTCTCTCTGTGGGCACACACACCGTCGTCCCATCCCTGCCTCCTCCCATGGCCCTCTCCTCACCAGCAGCCCCACCGGAGGAGAGTCGCCCTTGGGCACAGCCCACGCAAAGCAGCGTAGCCAAGGACATGGTAGCCGGGCAGTGGGGATAAGACTCCGCCCTTGTGCCCCATCGCACGCAGATGATGCTGCAGGGCACAGGCCTAGGGTGTGGCCACCATGGCGCTACTGGGCTGCCTGGGTGATCTGTGGCAGGCCGTGGAGGTGGTGGATGGTCCAGCAGACAGAGCGGGGCCAGGGGTGGGGGGCAGGTTTTGGGTACTTGGTCTCTAAAAGGTTTGCCATCACTGTCCTAGCAAATGGCTGCAATTCAGCCACCCTTGACTAGCCAAGAGCTGACGAACAGTCTACTTTGTCCTTCTGGGTCATTCTCTTCCCATAGGAGAGTGCTGTTGTCTATCTCCGCCACCCATCATGCATTTGCCATCTACAAAATCAGTGGATCCTGTGGCTGCACATCTCCATTGCAACTCCAGAGGTCACTCTGCCTGGGTCCTTTCCACAAGTCTGTAGTAGGGGCCTCTCCAGCCCATCAGCTCCGTGTGAGTCCCCTCCTCCACAACCTCTCCTTCTTCCAGTACCACAATCTTGTCTGCGTTCTCCACCGTTTGCATCCGGTGAGCAATCACCAGCACCGTCAGGGCTCCACGAGTCTGCACAGAATGCTGGATCTGGAGAAGCAATAGCATTTAGACGTATATACCGCTTCACAGTGCTTTACGGCCCTCTCTAAGCAGTTTATAGAGTCAGCATATTTGCCCCCAGCAATCTGGGTCCTCATTTTACTGACCGTAAAAGGATGGAAGGCTGAGTCAATCTTGAGCTGGTGAGGATCGAACTGCTGGCAGTCGGCAGAATTTGCTTGCAATACTGCATTCTAACCACTGCACCACCACGGCTCAAGTGTTAAGAATTATTTCCCATGTTTCTTAGCTAAAACAGTTTTGTTCAAACTCTTTGGGTGCATTTTGTGTGTGCGTGTCTGTGTGTGAGTGTTTGAGGAAGGAGCTGGAGTCAGAAAGTCCTCAGTGTACAAGTATAGAACAGGTCAGGGGTAGACAACCTCGGCTCTTTTATGACTCATGGACTTCAACTCCCAAAATTCCTGAGTCAGCTATGCTGGGAGTTGAAGTCCATGAGTCATAAAAGAGCTGAGGTTGCCTACCCCTGAAATAGGTGGTACCTGGCTCAATGGTAGCAATTGTGAGGGATTTAGGTGACCTCGGAGACAACCACTTAGGTATATGTGGGCAGTGTGATGCACCTTCCAAAAAAGCTAATGCAGTCCCAGAGGGATAGTATCAAGATCACTGAGGTGATAGCAGTGCTTTATACTGCATTGGTGAGACCACATTTGGAATACTGCATCCAGTTCTGGTCAACATGATACAAAGAAGACATTGAAGCTCTTAGAAAGAGTGCAGAGAAAGATGATCAGGGGACTGGAGGCTAAACTTTATGATGAACGATTGAGGGAACCAGATATGTCTGGTCTAACAAAGAGAATAGCAACAGCAATAGCACTTAGACTTATATACCGCTTCACAGTGCTTTACAGCCCTCTCTAAGCAGTTTACAGAGTCAGCCTATTGCCCCCAACAATCTGGGTTGTCATTTTACCGACCGTGGAAGGATGGAAGGCTGAGTCAATCTTGAACCGGTGAGAATCGAACTGCTGGCAGTCGGCAGAATTAGCCTGCAATACTGCTTTCTAACCACTGCGCCACCACAGCTCATCAACAATGATCCACAGTTCATAAGCAATGATACAGAAGAGATCCTGGGTGGATTCCTTAAAACAGCGGTTCTCAACCTATGGGTCGCGACCCCATTTGGGGTCGAACGACCATTTTACGGGGGTCGCCAAACAACGCGATCTGCCATTTTTCCCCCTCAGGGGGCGGCACCGCGCATGCGCACCGCGCATGGGGGCGCGTCTGTATGACTGGGAGTCGCCATATAAAAAGGTTGAGAACTGCTGCCTTAGAAGCACCAGAGAGAAGTTCCTTCTGATTTCCACGAAAAGGTGCTTCTCCAGCTCTGCCGTAGAACCCACAGTTCCACAGACAGATTTGGCCTCAAGTGTTTTTGCAGTCTGGCAAACAATAAAAGCCGCCCCTACATTCATGGTCCTAAAACAGACCAAGTACAGGCAGCCCTCAACTTACCACAGTTCATTTAGTGACCGTTTAAAGTTACAACGGCACTAGAAAAAAAGCGACTTATGCCCATTTTTCAGAGTTACGACCTTTGCAGCATCCCCAGGATCACGTGATCAAAATTCAGATGCTTGGCAACTGTCTCCTACTTATGCTGTGTCCCAGGGTCATGTGATCACTTTTTGCGACCTTCTGACAGGCAAAATCGATGGGGAAAGCCCAGATTCACTTAACAACTGGGTCAGTAGCGTATCAGCCGCAGTGATTTACTTAATGACTGTGGCAAGAAAGGCCGTACAATTGGGCAAAACTCACTTTAACAACTGTCTCACTTAATGACAGAAATTTGGGGCTCAGTTGTGGTCGTAAGTTGAGGTCAACCGGCACTGGTTGTCTTCGATTACAACCATTCGTTTAGCACAGTGGTTCTCAACCTGTGGGTCGGGACCCCATTTGGGGTCGAACGACCATTTCACGGGGGTCGCCAAACAACGCAGTCCGACATTTTTTCCCCCTTTTCCTTAGCTGTGCTACTCCCTTTTATTCTATGGGCTTTTGAAAGCCAATAGAACAGACTCTCTTGAATAGAGTCTAATTCTATTGGCTTTCAAAAGCCAATAGGAATTGTCCAGGCTGTCTCTGCCCTGCTGAGCCCGCCGAAAGTCCCATTCTGCAAACGGTGCTGCACCAGTTGAGTAGTCCTCGACTTACGACCGGTTGAGTAGTCCTCGACTAACGACCGATTGGGGGTCGCGGCATTAAAAAGGTTGAGAACCACTGGTTTAGCAATTGAAGTTATGACAGCCCTGAAAAAAAAGGGATTAATGGCTGGTCCTGAAACCTCACAAAATTTCTCGAAAAGGAAGGAGGCAGAGATGAGAAGGGAAGGCAGTTCATGTCCATCATCTGCAATCTATAATCTGTAACCAGCACAAAGGAGAAGTTGAGCTGCCCGCCATTTTCATCTCCCTTCCCAGCACCACAATCATGTGGGCATCATTGACACAGGAATACTATCCAAATGGCTGGCTCAGGAATTCTGGGAGTTGAAGTCCTCGAGTCATAAAAGAGCCAAGGTTGCCTAGCCCTGCTATATCCAAATGGCTATTTCAGGAATTCTGGGAGTTGAAGTCCTCGAGTCATAAAAGAGCCAAGGTTGCCTAGCCCTGCTGTATCCAAATCTTTGATTTCTTCCTATAACACTGTTTTGTAGGCTACATTTTAGGCTACAATTAGTTTGATCCAGCAGTCAAGGCAACAGGCTAAAATGGAGAAGACTGTGATACTTAGTCCATAAAAGCCGGTGACTTGACTTTGGGCCAGTCACTTTCTCTCCGCCCAGCCCACCTCACAGGGTTGTTGTTGTGGGGAAAATAAGAAGAGGAAAGTGTATTATCTCTGTTCGCTGCCATGAGTTACTTACAAAGTTACAGGAGAAGGAAGGAAGGAAGGAAGGAAGGAAGGAAGGAAGGAAGGAAGGAAGGAAGGAAGGAAGGAAGGAAGGAAGGAAGGAAGGAAGGAAGGAAGGGAGAGAAGGAGGGAGGGAGGGAGGAAGGAAGGAAGGAAGGAAGGAAAAAAAAGAAAGGAGGAAGGAAGGGAGGGAGGGAGGAAAGGAGGGAGGGAGGAAGGAAGGAAGGAAGGAAGGAAAGAAGGAAGGAATATAAAAACAAATAAATAAATAAATACATTTGCTGTTTTAATTTTATGTATGGTAGGCTTGTCAGTTGCTCAGTCAGTTGATGACCAGAATGGCAAGTCAGGCTGGTGAAAGCAACACAGGTAGTCCTTAACTTACGACCGTTGAGGACAACCTGTAAATATATTTGTAACTGCCTTCTTCTTTACTTCCTCTTTTGCCGCTTCGGGTCTTGAGGGATTTATAATAATAAAATACAAATATATAAATAAATTTATTTATTATCAATCAATCAATCAATAAATCAATCTTGTTTTTATATACTATTTTATAAAATATATTTTATATTATTGTATAATATGCATTATTATAAATAAATACATTTATTTATTTATTTATATGTATAATATATAATAATATAAAATATATTTTATAAAATAGCATATGAAAATAACATATAAAAAATAAAAGAAAAATACACACTTTTTGTGGAAATAGGCACGATGTTCTCTTAGATCAGTGGTTCTCAACCTGTGGGTCGGGATCCCATTTGGGGTCGAATGACCATTTCACGGGGGTCGCCAAACAAGGCTGTCTGCCATTTTCCCCCCTTTTCTTTGGCCATGCCCCTGGCACCCGGTTATGTATAAGTGGTTGGGGGTCACCACACATGGGGAACTGTATTATGGGGTCGCGGCATTAGAAAGGTTGAGAACCACTGTCTTAGATCCATATTATCTGGCCACGGAGGGGCTACTATTATTAAACGTAATTTTCACTGTTCATAAGCCAGTAGTCCTCTAAGACAGTGTCCCCCAACGTTTTGGGCACCAGGGACCAGTTCCATGGAGAGATTTTTCCGTGGACTGGAGAGGTATGTTTTTGCGTGCTGCCTACATCCCGCGGATGGGGCTTCACTTGTTTGTGCGGACCACTTGCTGGCATGCTGCAGCCCGATACCATTCCACGGACCAGGAGTTGGGGACTCCTGCTCTAAGGAACCGAGAGGCAGATCATAATAACCCCCAGAAGACAAGCAGATAAAAGATAAATCAACATAAGAACTCTAAATTTATCATATCAGGGGATGGCACCAGATTTTAAAGCAGTGGTTCTCAACCTGTGGGTCGGGACCCCATTTGGGGTCGAACGACCATTTCACGGGGGTCGCCAAACAACGCAGTCCGACATTTTTTTTCCCCTTTTCCTTAGCTGTACTACTCCCTTTTATTCTATTGGCTTTTGAAAGCCAATAGAATAGACTCTCTTGAATAGAGTCTAATTCTATTGGCTTTCGAAAGCCAGTAGGAATTGTCCAGACTGTCTCTGCCCTGCTGAGCCCGCTAAAAGTCCCATTCTGCAAACAGTGCTGCACCAGTTGAGTAGTCCTCGACTTACAACCGGTTGGGTGTCGTGGCATTAAAAAGGTTGAGAACCACTGTTTTAAAGTCTATTTATCCCCAACATCAACTTGGAAGAAATTATGCCGTTTCCAGTTGAATAAACCCAGTTTTTCCTGCTCCGTTACCTCACAGAAATCCAGATTAAGTCCAGAGCCCCTGAACCAGCTCAGCCAGGGTCCACCCCCAAATCCCCTCACAAGTCCCCAGCACATACTGCAGCTTCGCTCTCGGGGTCCAGGGCGCTCGTGGCTTCATCCAGCACCAACACTTTGGGGTCACGGATCAGGGCCCGGGCGATGGCCAGCCGTTGCTTCTGCCCCACGGACAGCTGGCCCCCTTTCTCCCCCACCTCTGCAGGAAGATAAGCAAGATAAGATGGAGGGGAGATAAGCAAGAAAGATGGAGGGGAGCAAGACAAATCCATCCCTTAAATCTTGTTGCCCCAAAGAGATAGCAAAGCCATCAGCTTTGGGATTGACAAATCAATGAACACCCCTACTTTACAAAGCAGGAGAACAAGGAGAATAAGGACTTGAAAAGGAAACTGTAGTATTAGATCACAAGCAAAATGTAGGCCAATTACAATGAAACAAAGTGAAAATTATGATCAGCTACGGCAATACAGCACATTTCCCCTTTATCAGAGGATGTCACAGGACTGCATTGCTTATTGATGGCAATCCAAGGGCTGTCTTTAACTGAATCTCACTGATCATTAGGTGAGGACTTCCTCACCAGTTCCTGATGGCTTCTCACAGCCAAAGTTCGTGGGGAACACAGCAGGAATTTGCAGTTTGGGTGTCTCGCAGGCAGGCAGGCAATTAAGTAGTTGCTGCTGGGTGGGGTGTATTTGTGTGTAGCTTCAGCAGTGTGAGTGAGGGATAGGACTGGCCCCTGCTAGATGGGGGAGGGAGGGTGTGTGTGTGTGGGTGGCCACAGCAGTACATGCTACATTTTCTGGTTCCTAGGATGGCTTATGCCAGGTGGAGGAGACTTATCTCTGACTTGTAACCTTTCCTACTGGCTTCCCCATTGCCTTTGCATGTGGGAAGGCGGCAAATGGTGATGATTTGATTGTGGAGTTTGGAAAGGCCAGGGGCTGAGGACAATGCTGTCCCAGGCCCCTCAGGCATTGGGGAAGGATGTCGACCGGACGAAGAGCTGCCTGCGTTCAGATACACGGAAGATCGGCTGCTGACAGACACTGGTGCCAATAGGCAGCAGATCCCCTCTGATGAAGAACAGCTGCCTCCCCCGCTCGATCCAAGGGCACGGAGAGTGGACCTTAGGAAAACTCAGGGAAGGGCTGCGAGGTTAACTCAAGAGAAGGTCACTCACAAGGAACACCTGGAGTGGATTGACTTAAAAAGAAGTGGTGGGGAGTTAACCTTTGACAGGAACAATTGTTTGCTTTGGCTTACACTCCTCCGACTTTGACTCGTGACTTGCCTGGAGAACTGCCTTCTGCCTTGTGCCTTGCCTTTGCCCTGAGGACCGCCTTTCGTTTTGTGTCTTGCCCTTGCCTTGTGGACTACAGTTTGCCTCATGGGTGCGCTTAACCGGTGGACTGAACTTAGGACCCTGGACTTTGCCCTGTGAGCATGCTCCTACTCTGCGGACTTTTCTTTGTAATATACAGGCTGTTGTTTGCGGGACTGTGGATATGGTGATTTTGGGTATGGTGTAACAACCGGAACTTCAAGGACTAGTTGTAACCACCATTTGTTTAGTGCCATCATAATCTGAAACGATGGACTGAACGAAGGAATAAGCGTAACTCAAGAGCCACCTTTCTACATTGTAACAATGCAAGCAGGATTTCACTTCGGGGGAGCCAAGAATCAGGACTGGTGGGTTTTCCAGGGGGAAAATGGACCTTTAAAGGATGAATCGAAGGGAGGGAAATGGATTTTGCCCACCTGCAGTGAAGCCTCCTTCCAGCTCACGGATGAATCCCAGGGCATCAGCTTCTTTCGCTGCTTTGCTCACGTCTTGCTCACTGCAGCCTTGCAGGCCGTAGGTGATATTGTCCCAAATGGACCCGGAGAAAAGGACGGGCTCCTGGCCCACTAGGGCCACCTGCAATTGGACAGGGAGGCCTATCAGGACAAGGCTGTGCTGAGGGAGAAACTCCATTGATCTTCCTCATCAAGCACCTTTCCAGGGTGGAGCTGGTTAATGCTCAAGGTTGATGCTCAGAATGTGCAGAATTCAGAATAACAGAGTTGGAAGGGACCGTGGAGGTCTTCTTGTCCAACCCCTTGCTCAGGCAGAAGGCCCTATTACCATTTCAGACAAACAGTTTCCCAATCTCTTTCTAAAAACTTCCAGTGTTGGAACATGCACAACTTCTGGAGGCAAGTTGTTCCACTGATTAATTGTTCTCACTGTCAGGAAATTTCTCCTCAATTCTAGGTTGGTTCTCTCCTTGATAATAATAATAATAATAATAGTAGTAGTAGTAAAGTTGGAAGGGACCTTGGAGGTCATCTAGTCCAACCCCCTGCTCAGGCATGAAACCCTACACCATTTCGGACAAGTGGCTGTCCAGTCTCTTCTTAAAAACTTCCAGTGTTGGAGCATTTACTGCTTCTGTAGGCAGGCTGTTCCACTGATTAATTGTTCTGACTGTCAGGAAGTTTCTCCTTAGTTCTAGGTTGCTTCTCTCCTTGATTAGTTTCCACCCGTTGCTTCTTGTCCTGCCTTCAGGTGATTTGGAAAATAGATTAATTCCCTCTTCTTTATGGCAGCCCCTGAGATATTGGAATACTGCTATCATGTCCCCCCTTGTCCTTCTCTTCGTTAAACTAGACATGCCCAATTCTAGCAACCGTTCCTTATATGTTTTAGCCTCCAGTCCCCTAATCATCTTTGTTGCTCTTCTCTGTACTCTTTCTAGACTCTCAACATCTTTTTTACATCATGATGACCAAAACTGGATGCCGTATTTCAAGTGTGGCCTTACCAAGGCATTGAAGAGTGGTATTAATACTTCACGTGATCTTGATTCTATCCCTCTGTTAATGCAGAACAGATTAGTTTCCAATGGATTAGTTTCCATCCATTGTTTCTTGTCCTGCCTTCAGATGCTTTGGAGAAAAGCTTGACCACCTTTTCTTTGTGGCAGCCCCTGAGGTATTGGAACACTGCTATCCTGTCACCTCTAGTCCTCCTTGTAGTGAATCTTACGTGCAGATATACGATTCACTACATCTCCCAACTGTAGACCTTGAGCTGTTATCTGCTCTTCTTTGGAGACAAAGTGGCAATACCCAGCCAACCTCGCCTGATTTTGAAAGCTAAGTAGGATCATGCTTTGTTGGCACCTGGATGAACTCCAGGTCCGTGGCTAGACTAGGAAGGTCACCAAAACAAATCACATCAGGGGATAACATTTACACTGTTGCCAGAGAAACGGTGCAGCCACAGTCCTAGATCACAAGAGATTCTCATCTTTTATATGAACCAAGTGTGCAGAATTTCCTGAATGCCGCACCTTTTTACTTATCAAGCAACACAACGAATCCAAAGCCTTTGATTCTAGGCATCTTTTACTACCTTCTGCACCAGAGCAGATCTGAGCAACTTTGGAGATTTCAAGCATCAAATTGGTGGTTCACAAAGTTGCCTCAATGGCATTGCGTTCACCATTCACTGGGGCATTTTTGGATGTCAATAACCCAATTTCTGAAAGCCAGAGGCTCTTACCCTTTTTTTTTTGAGACAGGAAATGCATTGAAAGCACACTGTAGGCCAGTGATGGCGAATCTTTTAGAGACCGAGTGCCCAAACTGCAACCCAAAACCCACTTATGTATCGTCGAGTGCCGGGTAGGTGTGGCCCATCGGCTGGGTGTGGCCCATTGGCTGGATGTGGCCAATTGGGTGGGCGTGGCTGCGGTGGTAACAGCAGACTGGGTGGGACTAAAAAGTTCAATCAATCAATTCCAACTTTGCAAGATCTTTTTTTCCCCGCGAGAAGTTGAAATTGACTGATTGAACCTTTTTTTTTTGTACATGGCGGCAGAGGCCTAAAGCGAAAAGGTTTTATAAAACCCAGCTGAAGGCCTAGGACTCGGGTGACGGTGCGCGTGCCCACAGAGAGGGCTCTGAGTGCCGCCTCTGGCACCCGTGCCATAGGTTCGCCACCACTGGTGTAGGCCATAACAATTAGAATTTTAAAGCACAAGCACAAAAAAATACCCAGTCAGTTCCAGCCAACTCCTTCTAATATCATGTGGTCCTGCCTACTCTGCATCACCCCCCCCCCTCTGAAAACATCACCAAGTGTTGCCCATCAACCACCCAAGGAGACCCAGGCCTCATCCTGCAGGCAATGGGGCTGGTCTCATCCAAACTGTGTGGCCTAACATTTCTTCACTCTCCATCTTCCTTGCTGAATGAACCCCCATTCTAGTGCCAAGAGACCCAAATGTTTCAGTCAAAGCCAAAAGCTGCCTTCACCCACTGCTGCTCCCAACCAGGCTGGCCCCTCCCTCACCTGCCTATGGAGATACTTGTGTTCATATTTCCCAACTGGGACTCCGTCCAGCAGGACCTCCCCAGACTGGGGTTCGTAGAAGTGCTCCAGGAGGGCGACGCAGCTGCTTTTCCCGCTGCCGTTCAGGCCTACCAACGCCGTCACTTCCCCAGGGCGAAGCTCAAAGGAGACATTCTAGGGCACAAGGAGATGCAAATGCATGCAAAATGTAGCAGGGATATTCAGTGTGGATGAATGCACATGAAAGGCAGACATCAGCAACGCGATCCACATCTAAAAAAGCCACACATAACGGGTACCCTATAAATACCACATACAGCCCAAAGGACACACTCTGCTAGAGAGATGTTCCTTGAGGATGGGCTCCAGTAAGAGTCCAAAAACTCGGAAGACGAAACCTCTGGTCCCGGTGACCGACCCAGATTTGATCCTACATATCTAGATCCTACAATCTGAGTCTCCTACAGCAGTGTTCCCCAACCTTTCCAGGTTGGCAATGGGGGGGGGAAGAGGAAATGGTTTGTGGGAGGGGCAGGCACATGTGCGTGAGTGGGGCTACTAGCGCATGTCACTCATGCAAGTGGGGCTCTGAGCACCTGCCATTCATGCAAGTGGGGCTGTGAGCATCTGCCACTCGTGCAAGTATGGCTGCGAGCACCAGCGCCTGCCACTCATGTGAGTGGGGCATGTGTGTGTGTGTGTGTGTGTGTGTGTGTGTGGCCATTCATACAGCCCAGTTGTAAATAGGCCACAGCCCAGAAGTGGGCCGCAGCCCACAGGTTGAGCACCCCGTCTCACAGTATAGAAACTTATTTTGTCTTTCTAAACACCTTTAACATCTCAACATTCTTCCTTCCAATGTTCTTTAATGAAAGTGAAAGGATGCTGGTCAACCCACTTGACTAAGTTACTTAAAGCTTTAGCAACTGCATTTGAGTGATGCACTGGTGGCATGGTGGCGCAGTAGTTAGAATGCAGTATTGCAGGCTAGTTTTGCCGACTGCCATCAGTTCGATTCTCATCAGCTCAAGGCTGACTCAGCCTTCCATCCTTCCAAAATTGGTAAAATGAGGACCCAGGTTGTTGGAGGCAAAATGCTAAGTCGGTAAACCTCTTAGAGAGGGCTGTAAAGCATTGTGAAGCAGTATATTAAGTCTGTGACTGAGTGCCCCAAAACTGCTCTGCCCCCCTGCCCTGCCCCGCTCTGCCCCCTGCCCTGTCCACTCTGCCCTTGTCCTGCCCCACCGCCATTCTGCCCCCCCACTCTGCCCCAACCCCGCCCGCCCATAGGGCCACCCACTGCCTCCATAGCCCTCCACAGCAGATCGCCCAGGTGGCCCTGTAGCGCCATGGTGGCCACACCCTCTGCCCATGCCCCGCAGCATCATCTGTGTGTGATGGGGCATGAGGGCGGTCCCTGCTGCCCAGCTGCCATATCCTTGGCTGCGCTGCTCCACGCTCAGGGGAGGCTGCTGGTGAGGAGGGGGCTGCGGGGGAAGTGGGACTGGGGCAACGGTGCACGTGCCCACAGAGAGGGCTCTGAGTGCTGCCTCTGGCACGCGAGCCATAGGTCTAGGTGCTATTACTATTGCTCTCCCATACGGTACCTTCAGGACCTGGATCTCGGGGCGGGAGGGATAGCAGAAGGAAACATTTTGGAAGGAGATGCATCCGGAGAGGGATTTTGGAGACAACGTCCCTTCTGTGCTGACAGAAGGTTTCCGGTCAAGATATTCAAATACTTTTTCTGCTGCGGCCACATTGCTCAGGGCATCCCCGTAAGCGTAAATCAGGCCCTGTGGGAGGAAAAGGAAAGGGCAGCAATGTGCAATTTGCAATTTCAGCCAAGTTTGTCTGCAACTTTGAACTTGCAGCTTGGTGCAAATTGCTGGTTTCTGTTCACAAATGGCCACATTTCTTTCAAAAACAGAAAACTCACAGGAATTTGATTTGAAATCTGGAACGTCTTCCAATTCCTTAAAAAAAAAAAAAACACCTTGCAAATGCCCTCAAAGTTTTATTTTTGGAAAACAACATTTCTGTGGGAAAATAACTTAGAAGGAAGAAACAATTTGGACAAAACCAGAAGCACCAACCAAACTGATAATGTACGCAGTCATTTCCTCAAAGCAGCAGCATTTTTTTTAAAAAAAGTGTTTCTAAAGAAGTTTTGTTCTTTTGTTTCCGCTTGTTTGCTACTTGTTGAGTTGCGTGTAATGCCTATCTTTCTGCAGAAAAAGAAATCCAGTGTTCCTTTATCCAAAACCAAAACCATTTTTTAAAAAATCTATAAAGGGAGAGACAATTTGGTGTTCATCAGCAGCTCCATCTCTATCCCTTCTTGCCACTTGGAACCTGCAGCAGCTTCTCAGCTCCAAGTCACTCAAATGTTCTCCAAATGTCATTTCATGTCAGACCTGCCCCAGCCTGATCCCTTAGGGAAGAAAAACCCTCGACTCCATTTAGCTGAAGTGAAAGGTACTTTTACTAAGAGATGCTGCTTGCAGTAAAGTCAGGAAGAATCTGAGTTTCCTGTGCAACAAGACAAAGCTATTTCCTTCAGTCCCCCTCACGCCATGACCAATCCAAATGTCGCCAGCCAATGCAATGTCGCCGGGATGTTTTGGGAACACTGAGGTTTTTGGGCTGGTAACTTTCCATACTGAGGGCAAATGGCCTTGAAGACACCTAGGCACGAACTGTCTCATGGTGATCTGCTTTTCTTCAGCTGTCAAGCCCCTCCCAAATTCCAACACAAAAATGCATACAGGTTTATTGCCCATTTGTCCCCCCCACATGCCTTTGATGGCAGGACGCCAGCGCAGCACCAAGCTGAAGATGATGGACCTGACATTTCAAAACAATCATTACATACAGTCCAACATATGTCGCACAGGCCTACACAAACATCAGTAACTCCCACAAAATGAAATTGGTCTTAAACAGACCCAGAACTGAAGCCTAGATCTATAAGTAAAATTAAATATAGTTCAACACTAAAATTTGACCACCTCATAGTGAATGGAATTGCTGGAAGGAAATGTATTTTAGTTCTTAAAAAAGAGAGTAAAAAAGAAAGAAACAAAGCAAGAATCCAACTGTAGGGTGTGATGAAGGGTCAAATGAACAGAGGTATGAGGACCCGAAGTGCCAATAAACAAGAATATTTGTAGCTCAGGGTTGACACGAGGAGTCCTTGGGGCTCTCTGAACTTGCTTGTTTTCTTGCAGACGTTTCATTACCCAAACTAGGTTACATCATCAGTGCTGTTACCTAGTCTGGGTAATGAAATGTCTATGAGAAAACAAGGAAACTGAGAGAGCCCCAAGGACCCCTCAGGTTGAAATGCTACAGAAGAAAACATTTTCAAATCTAAGCGTTCACTAACCTGTACACACTGCCCTATGTGTGTCTGGTAGAGGATGAAGGAGACCAAGTTTCCTTCGGTCATGAAGCCAGTGAGGATCTGCTGGTAACCACAGTAAAGCAGGATCAACTTCATGCTCAATCGGAGGACCTGGAGTGGGAGAAAAATGGTAGGTCATGGCTGAGAATCCTGCTTCTCTCTCACGCCATGGCGTCTTCTTACTTCTTTTGGGTGGGGCTATGAAACATGTTTTTAAATTCCATTCTGCAGACATTTTTTGGCAGGGTTCCGATTTCTGGGCAACAACCAGGCCTTTAGTGCCATACAAAAGGCCAACAGGGTTAGGACCATCCTAATTTCCAAAAGGTGAACGTTTCATAGGGTGGGCAATACAGCAGAAAAGGTATATCTTCTGGGCCCTACCAAATGGCATTCCCTAGCTATTCTGTTCCAAACTGAACAGGTTGCTTTCTGTACAATGCAAACAGATAGATAAGTCAGAAGAATAAATAGAAATATAGCTTTTATTCTGGGAATTCTAGACAATGACTTACAGTCACGTGGAGATGCATCCAGAAGTACATGTTTGCAATATTGGTTTATTCCCCAGGTAAATTGACATTGGATTTTCCCCTCTTCTCTTCCTGAGCGTCACATGTTGGCGAGGATCTCCTAACCGTGTGGCTAGGAACCATGCGGCTGGTGAACAAAGGATCCAATCTGGCTTGTGTCTAGGAAGTCTCTCAATGACCTTTGATACTCCTCCCACTGACCCATCAACATACGTAGCATTTAACCCAATAACTGCCAGACACTCCAACACACTGATACCTGCTCTCTAGTTAGGGCTACATAGAGCTATACAGTCCATGGAGCTATACGTTCCAGAATACTAGCGTACGAGTCCCCAACCCCCGGGCCATGGCCCACTACTGGGCCACGGCCTAGTCGAAACCGAGCTGTGGGAGAATGGGCAAGTGCACGCATGTGAAGCTCCATTCACGCGAGCGATGGGCAAGTGCACGCATGCGCGCAGAGCTCCACTCACATGAGCTGAGGGCACTTGCGCTCGTGCGCAAAGCTCCACTCACATGAGCAGAGGAATAAACAGCCAATACAGGTAGTTCTTGACGTACGACCGCAACTGAGCCCAAATTTTTTGTTCCTATGTGAAACATTGGTTAAGTGAATTTTACCCCATTTTATGACCTTTTGTACCGCTGTTGTTAAGTGGATCACTGCAGTTATTAAGTTAGTGACGCGGTTGTTAAGCGAATCTGGCTTCCCCATTGATTTTGCTTATAAGAAAGTGATAAAAGGGACCCCAGGCCACTGCAACTATCATAAATATGAGTCAGTTGCTAAGCATCTGAATTTTGATCACGTGACTATGGAGATACTGTAATGGTCATAAGTGTGAAAAGCAATCGTAAGTCACTTTTCTCAATGCTATTGTAACTTTGAACAGTCACTAAATGAACTACCTGTATACACTCCAGACTAGAACTGGTAGATCAGTCATGAATTTAACAGGTAGTCAAATCCCATGACAAAGGTCAGAATTGTGCAAATCATGGAATTCCCCGTGGTTTTCTATGAAAGTGAAAGTTGGACTTTAAAGAAGCAGGATAGGAAGTATATTGATGTTTTTACACTTTGATGTCAGAGAAGACTCCTGATAGCCAAGAAAACAAGCCGATGGGTCATTCAACAAATTAAACAGAGTTCTCACTCAAGGCATGTGTCAAGGAACTGCGAAGCAGCTGTCCAGATGAAATTGGAGACACTGACACAAACTTGTAGCCTTTTATATAAATATAAATATATTTAACATTCAAATCTACAGCAATCTTTGTCATCAACCAGGAAAGGAAGAACATAAAGATAGTCGGGAACACAGGAATATCCTGAGGTAAAACTAAAACAGTATACAGAACACACAGATGAAAAAGGCGGGAAAAAAGAGAAACTCCCCCTTTGTACTTATCACAGTGTAGATTGCCTCATGCATGAATCAGCACTCTCTAATTAATCAATTACAGCTGTGTGTTCTGGCCTATTGTATACTTCCAGAAGCTCTCAGGGAGCACCTAGCCATCCAGGGGAGCAAAAGGGTTGATTTCTAGAGCTTCCCCCTTCCTAGGCAAGTTTCTTCTGACTTAGAAAACATTCTAAATACAAAACTGTGGAGAATCTGTAGCAGACCAAAAAAGTAATGCTACAAGTAAGACGCCATTTTTCCGCCGGAAGTCTATTTTACTGTTCCAGCTATTAAATTCAATATCCTAACACATGAACTGTATAGTCAAGACTATGGTTTTCCCAGTTGCAATGTACGGCTCTGAGAGTTGGACCATAAGAAAGGCTGAGTGCAAAAGAATTGAGGCCTTGGAACTATGGTGCTGGAGAAGACTCCTGCGAGTCCCCTGGATTGCAAAGCGATCAAACCGGTCAATCTCAGAGGAGATCAACCCTGACTGCATTTTAGAAGGCCAGATCCTGAAGTTGAAACTCAAGTACTTTGGCCATCTAACGAGAAGGAAGGACTCGCTGGAGAAGAGCCTAATGCTGTGAAAGATTGAGGGCAATAGAAGAAGGGGACGACAGAGAATGAGGTGGCTAGATGTAATCACTGAAGCAGTTAGGCGTGAACTCAAATGGACTGCAGAAGATGGTAGAGGACAGGAAGGCCTGGAGGAACGTTGTCCATGGGGTCGCGGTGGGTCGGACATGACTTCACAACTAACAACAACAACACATTAACGACCAGGCTCAAATTATCCTACTTCCGAAACATTTTGCAAAGACCCAGCTTTCTGGAAGAGGCTCCAGGTGGACAGATTCACTTACAGAGATGATGAGTGCACCATTGGGAGACTTGAAAGAACATGATAGATCAGTGATGGCGAACCTTTTAGAGACCGAGTGCCCAAAAACTGGCCCCGCCCCTGCTTCACACCCTGCCCCACCCCCGCTCCGCCTCACCCTGCCTGCCCGCAGGGCCACTCACCACCTCCAGGGCCCACTGCAGATTGCCCAGGTAGCCCAGCAGCACCACAGCAGCCACGCCTTCTGCCCACGCCCTGCAGCATCAACTGTATGTGATTGGGCGTGAGGGCAGAGTCTTGTCTATACTGCCTGGCTGCCATATCCTTGGCTGCGCTGCTCCGCATGGGCCACACTCAGGGCGACTCCCCTCCAGGTAGGCTGCTGGTGAGGAGGGGGTCGTGGGCGGAGGCAAGGCTGGGACAATGGCATGTGTGCCCACAGAGAGGGCTCTGAGTGCCGCCTCTGGCACCCATGCCATAGGTTCGCCACCACTGTGATAGATCATTCTGAAGAAACTCTGTGTGGTAATTAGGATTTAAAGACCATTTGATGACACATAATCAATCAGTTTTGGTTATTGATGATTCAAAGAAAAAACCCGTGACAGACTTAAACTGGAATTTTACTGGGTTGCATGTCCACTTGTTGTCTGACCTTTGGCAGTTAAGATTTTAATTGAAAAAAACATTCTTGATCGGCAAATCAGTGCTAAGAATTATGATACAGCATACCTAAAATCTTATAAGATTGGGGACAAAAAGACAAATTTCCAAAACTTTTCATACAAAGTAAGAAAAGCTTGCAAGACTTGGCAATCTCTTAAAATCTGAGCCATATTTTGAAATTATTTTACTTAGACACCTACAACACTCACTTAGAGGACCTAGGTCATGGATCGCCAACCTTGGCAACTTGTGGACTGCAACTCCCAGAATTCTTCGGCCAGCCACGCAGTCCACAAGTCTTAAAGTCGCCACGGTTGGAGACCTCTGAGTCCTAGAGGACTTACCCGGGCAACGAATACGTAAACAATCCTTTCCACGTCCCTTTGCTTCTTCAGCTGGCAGGTGTCCTCCAAGGACGCCTCGTAGCGCTGCGACTCCTTCTCCTCAGTGGCAAAGCTGTGCACAGTCTGCACGGACGAGATTACCTCATACACCACCTCCTCTGAGCGGGCCACCGAGTCCTGGATCGCCTTCAGTAAAGCCTGGATGGACCATGAAAGAAGCGGCAAAGTGAGCCTCCTGAAAACTACCTTGGACCAGGCATCCTGCTGGTGGTGGCATACCCAAACCAAAGTTCAGTGGCCTCATTCTGAGGAGGAGACCCCAAAAATGCTTCATTCCACTCCATCCCATTTTATTTCATTTATTTCTCACATGTGACCAACCGGATGCCAGAGTACAAGCTAAAGAGGTAGATGTACTCTCCCACTATTATGCGTCCTTCCCACAGCCCCCTGGATAATTTCCTCTCCGTGCACAGAGGGAGCTGAAATCCTTCAGAAAGCGGCAGCAACACTTGAGAGCAAAAGAGCTGCCTGCTGGTAGCTGAAATCTGTTAAAATCTTCTTGGTAGGTAGCACTTTTGCTCCACTGTATAATGATCTGGGAGACTGCAATTGGGAGTTCCAGCATGGCAGACATTGGGCAAAACAGTTGTGTAGGTATCTTGCTTAATAACCGCTTTACTCAGCGACCAAGATTTTAGTCTCAACTGTGATCATAACTCGAGGACAAGTTGTAGGATGCCCATCTGCTTTTTCACTATATTTCTATTTGTCTTTGCCTTCAAACTGGCTTCTTCATTCTTTTTTTTCCCAGCTCCTTCTCTGTCTCTCCTTGTAGTTGTCCAGCAAGTGGGGCCCTCATCCTCCTTTTCCTCTTTTCACTTGAGGAAAGAGACAAGGATGCAAACACACAATCCCTTTTCTTCAGCCCAGGAAAAAGGGGAAACCAGGCTACACAACCCACAACCCATCCTTTTGTACAAGCCACACAGACAAAGAAGTGGGTTTTGATCACACGGCTGCCATCTTTCCTTTTCTGACTTTCTGGAGATGGCACTGCATTCTGCGCTGCTCAGCTCCCTTGAAGTTTCTTTTTTCTTCCCCTCTCTGGCTTGCTTTTCCTTTCCCTCAGCTGGCCCAGTTCCTCACTCACCATGCTGGTGTTCCTCCCTCTCACACAATTGGTCTCAGAAACCCAGAAGTGACCACCATTCCCTCTAAGCCGCGATCTGCCTCCATGATCCGTACCTGATGACGGACATCGTAGACCTTCTGAACGGCCATCATGAGTGGGGTCTCGATCAGCATTAGCAGCGTCAGGCGCCAGGACAGGCCAATCATGAATACGTAGAGCCCAACGGCCTTGATCAGGGTGCGCAGGAAGACATTGGTGTTGAGTGGCACCGAGTGGCTCATCATAGTTGTGTCTTTGGAAAGGCGGGAGGCCAGCGCTCCTGTGGGCAAAGAGGTATCACTTGACAAACGCCACACTGGCAACACAGGGAGGGAGATTATAGGGAACAATTCCCCCAGGAAAGAGAAGACCAAGTCCTTGACACGATATCCAAGGATAGAAAAGAGTATCCTCTTTGCTATATTCTAACAGTGAGGACAATTAACAGTGGAACAGTTTGCCTTCAGAAGTTGTAGGTGCTTCATCACTGGAGGTTTTTAAGAAGAGAATGGACAGCCACCTGTCTGAGATGGTATAGAGCAGGGGGTCTTCAAACTTGGTCCTTTAATGACTTGTGGACTTCAATTCCCAGAATTCCTCAGCCAGCATGCCTGGCTGAGGAATTGTGGGAGTTGAAGTCCACAAGTCATAAAAGGGCCAAGTTTGAAGACCCCTGGTATAGGGTCTCCTGCTTGAGCGGGGGGTTGGACTAGAACAGGGGTTTTCAACCAGTGGTGTGGTACATTGGCACCTGGCAGGTGGTATGCGACCATCCTAGAAAAGTGGTAGCGGGGGAGGGGAATGAGCTGAACCGGTGGCAGCACCGCACAAGCCTGAGCGAGAGATGGCTGGAGCTGCAGGGCTGTCAGGGCTCAGCGGAAGCGCCAGGATCAGAGCTTCTTCGGGGCTGTCAGGGCTCAGTGGAAGCGCCAGGATCAGCGCTGGGCTCCAGCTGAGCCCTGAAGAAGCACAAATCAGCTGGAATGTTGCAGCCTCTCCAGGGTCTTATGATTTACATTCAGATGCTTGGCCACTGATTCATATTTATGAGGGTCACAGCATCCCAGGGTCATGTGAAGTGACCAAAACTTGCTGCAACCACCCAGCAGACGGGGGGAATAAAAACCAAACACCCCCCCCACCCCCGCTGCCAATCCTCAACAGAAATGCTCACAACAATGAAAACCTCGGACAGGAGGAAGAGTGCGGCTGGGCGGGCAGGCAGGTGTCTTGCTCGGCTGTGGCTTGGGGGGCACTTTTTTCAATGCCATTGTAACTTTGAACAGTCACTAAGCGAACTGTTGTAAGTCGAGGACTACGTGTACTTTATCACTTTTTTCCGGGGTTTTTTTGGGGGGGTCATCTAGTTTTTGACCCATTGCTAGGTGACTGGTGGTCCTCGGATGTTGCCATATCCTAAAAGTGGTACAATGGGTGAAAAGGTTGTAAAGCCCTGGACTAGATGACCTCCAAGGTCCCTTCCAGCTCTATTCTGATTGCTATTCTTATTGCAAATCTAGATAGCATACTTAAAAGCAGAGACATCACCCTGCCAACAAAAGTGCGTATATTAAAGGCCATGGTTTTCCCAGTTGCAATGTATGGCTGTGAAAGTTGGAGCATAAGAAAGGCTGAGCGCCAAAGAATTCAGGCCTTTGAACTATGGTGCTGGAGAAGATTCCTGCGAGTCCCTTGGACTGCAAGGCCTTCAAACCGGTCAGTCCTAGAAGAGATCAACCCCGACTGCTCTTTAGAAGGCCAGATCTTGAAGCTGAAACTCAAATACTTTGGCCACTTAATAAGAAGGAAGGACTCCCTGGAGAAGGGCCTAATGCTGGGAAAGATGGAAGGCAATAGAAGAAGGGGACGACAGAGAATGAGATGCTGGATGGAGTCACTGAAGCAGGAGGTGTGAACTTAAATGGACTCCAGAAGATGGTAGAGGACAGGAAGACCTGGAGGAACGTTGTCCATGGGGTTGCGATGGGTCGGACACGACTTCGCAATTAACAACAACAACATTCTGATTGCTCTTTGTCATGAGCAATGACATGACATTCCCACCTAAGTCCAGGCTACTTCCCCATGGATTTGGGGGTAGCCTCCTATCCAAGGAACATCTGAGCTTCTTTCTCTGAAGTCAACCCAGGGCTTCCTTCTCTTGAGCAGGTAAAGATTCTCTCTCCAGCCAATTTCTGCCAATCATGAAAAAGCCGAACAAGCGTAGGTTTGGCGAATACTTAGATGGCAGACATCTTAGTAGCAGGAGAGCTCAGAACTGCAGACTGGATTAAAAAAAATAGGGGGAAAAATCCAATGGAAATCATTGCTGAGCCGAGGTGGCGCAGCAGTTAGAGTGCAGTACTGCAGGCCACTTTAGCTGACTGTGTTCAGCAGGTCAGCGGTTCAAATCTCACCGGCTCAAGGTTGACTCAGCCTTCCATCCTTCCGAGGTAGGTAAAATGAGGACCCAGATTGTTGGGGGCAATATAAATATATATATACATTGCTTACTGGTGTACACCGCTTAGAGAGTGCTTGCACTTAAAGCGGTATATAAGTCTCATAAATAAACAAATAAATAAATAAATTTCTTTATGGCCTGCAAGGGAAAAACACGGTTGCAACCATGTTGTCCCCGGGAGCAGAGTTTATCCCAAAGCAAAGCCCAGCTATGGCATTAGTTCTGCTTGAAAGGCTAAGATGAGACCTGACTGATACATGGATGGGAGGCCACCAGGAAATCCCAAGTAAGAGAGTGTGTGTGAGAGAGAGGGGGGGAGGGAGAGAGGGGAGAGAGGGAGGGAGGGAAGAGAGGGAGAGGGAGAGAGAGCAGAAAGTGGCACTGGTAAAGCACTTCCATCTTCCCCCCCCCCCCAAAATAGTAAATGAATGGTCTGCCTAGTCATCAGTCAAGCTTCATTTAAGAGACTCTTTTCCTTTAGACAGTTCCAGAAACAGCAGCTGCCTGTTTGGGCCCTCACCTGTTTTCACCTCCTGGAAGAAGGCCAGGTCTTGCCTCACCAGAGAAGAGAAGAGTAAGTTGCGAGTCCGGATAACCATCCGTGAGATCGTGAACATGAAGAGTCCCCCACGACAGCTGGCAAACACGGAGCTAGAAAAGAAAAACAGCAAGAGGGGTGGGTGGGTTGGTTCCTGCTTCATCAATGGAAACTGAGTCACAGATCCATATATGAGCACGTACAGGATTTGACCCGGGTGCAAAGAGAACAAAATGTTCATATGGATAGGTCTATCCCACCATTTGAGATTAAGTTACTTCTGATGCTCTTCCCTCCATTTTGAAACTGCTTTCATTTTCACGTTGAATTTAAATCAGCAACAATCTCCCTGGTACCAGCCAAGAACGGATGTTCCTTTAGAAAGCTTTTTTTTTTTTTTTTTTCAGATTTGCATTCAAGTGAAAGCTAGGGATAGACCACAAGTTTTAACTGGTTAGAATTCTGCCAGGTTGCAAAACAAGCAGCTAAGGATGTCCCAAAGGTGCTTTTTTCAGGAGCCAACTGGACTATATTGTTTTCTTTTTGACGCTTCTTCAGCTCTGGATGAGAAGCAAAACGTCTTTAAAGAAAAACAAGGAAATCCACCTTTGGGACACAAGGCAGAAAACATACTGAGCCAAGAAGACTCCACACACTTCTGTACTGCTCACGTGACCTTGAGGACACAGATAAACCTCCAAGTGGCCTCAACAATTCTCTGAAAGAATGCAAATTACTATTATTATTATAGATCATCGCACAGTCAGCCAGATGTTCAGACTGGATTTGGCATTTTGTCTACCTATCGAGTCATTATTATTATTATTATTATTATTATTATTATTATTATTATAGATCATCGCAGTCAGCCAGATGTTCAGACTGGATTTGGCATTTTGTCTACCTATCGAGTCCTTACCCAGGACCTGGGATAGGCAGATGTGGATGTTTGATGGTATTACAGATATCGTCGCAGGATGGAAGCAGTTCCTAATAAGGCTGCCTTTTGCAATTGACTAATGGCAAATTTGCCAATGCAATGGTGTTCAAGTGGTGCTCCAGTTGTTTTGGGATTGCACCAAGGCACCTATTACTATTGGTACTACCCTTGCTTGTTTTTGCCACAGTCTTTCTATTTCTATTTGTAGGTCTTTGTATTTTGTTATCTTCTCCAGCTCTTTCTCTTCTATTCTGCTGTCTCCAGGCACTGCCACATCCACTATCCAGACTTTTTTGTCTTTTCTTATCGACAATTGTTAAGTCTGGGGTGTTATGTTGCAGGTGCTTGTCTGTTTGAATTCTGAAGTCCCAGAGCAGTTTAACTTTATCATTTTCTATGACTTTCTCTATTTTATGATCCCACCAGTTCTTGCTTACAGGCAAATGATATTTCTTGCAGATCTTCCAATGCACCATTGTTGCTACTTTGTCATGCCGCTGCTTGTAGTCAGTCTGGGTGATTTTCTTGCAGCAGCTTACCAGGTAGTCCACTGTTTCTTCAGCTTCTTTGCATAGGCGGCACTTACTGTCTGTTGCCGTCTTCTCAATTTTGACTTTATATGCATTTGTTCTTAAGGCCTGCAGCCAGAATTAGTCCCTCAGTCTCTTTCTTCAATTTTCCTGCTCTTGGCCATTGACAGGTCTTTTTATTATCTGTTTTCCCAGCTATTTTTTTAATGTACTGGCCATGTAGTGCTTTGTCTTTCCATTGTCTTCATTTGGTCTTTCTTGTAGGCCAGTTTGGTCTGTCCGGTAGTCAGTAAGCCTTCCTGATATACTAATTTCAGTGCATCTTCATCATTGTTCTTCAGATATTCTTCCAAAGCCATTTTTTCTTCTTCAACCATCTGACGTACTTGCAGCATTCCGCCTATTTGCCTTGGTAGATAAAGTCTGTCAATGTCACTACTATTATTATTATTTTAAAAAAAGATGGAAGGGACCTTGGAGGTCATCTAGTCCAACCCCCTGCTCAGGCAGGAAACCCTACACCATTTCGGACAAATGGCTGTCCAGTCGCTTCTTAAAAACTTCCAGTGTCGGAGCATTCACTGCTTCTGGAGGCAGGTTGTTCCACTGGTTAATTGTTCTGTCAGGAAGTTTCTCCTTAGTTCTATGTTGCTTCTCTCCTTGATTAGTTTCCACCCATTGCTTCTTGTCCTGCTTTCAGGTGCCTTGGAGAATAGTTTGACTCCCTCTTCTCTGTGGCAGCCCTGAGATATTGGAACACAGCTATCATGTCCCCCCTCGTCCTTCTCTTCGTTAAACTAGACATACCCAATTCCAAACGACAGCTGCCTTCAAGGAATATAAATCCTTCCATTCCCCCAGCATCTAGTCAGAGCTGAAGAAGCTTCTTGGATCAGAAGCGAAACGTCCTCAAAAAACAACAACATGGAAATCCAGTTGCCTCCTGAAAAAAAATCATCTTTGGGACAACCATGTCCTGGATGACTTGAGAGTCTCCACAGATAAGCAGCTAAGAAGAAAGCAAGGGCTAAGATTTGCTTCAGGAGGACTCCAGAGAACAAACTGATTTTCAGACCTTTCTTGAAGTTCCTGCTTCATCAATGGAAACTGAGTCACAGATCCATATATGAGCACGTACCAGATTTGACCCGGGTGCAAAGAGAACGAAATGTTCATATGGACAGATCTATCCCACCATTTGAGATTAAGTTACTTCTGATGCTCTTCCCTCCATTTTGAAACGGCTTTCATTTTCAGGTTGAATTTAAATCAGCAACAAGATCCCCGATATCAGCCAAGAACGCATGTTCCTTTAGAACAGTGGTTCTCAACCTGTGGGTCGGGACCCCATTTGGGGTCGAACGACCATTTCACGGGGGTCGCCAAACAACAAGGCTGTCTGCCATTTTCCCCCCTTTTCTTTGGCCACGCCCCTGGCACCCGGTGATGTATAAGTGGTTGGGGGTCACCACAACATGGGGAACTGTATTATGGGGTTGCGGCATTAGAAAGGTTGAGAACCACTGCTTTAGAAAGCTTTTTTTTTTTTTTCCAGATTTGCATTCAAGTGAAAACTAGGGATAGACCACAAGTTTTAACTGGCTAGACTTCTGCCAGGTTGCAAAACAAGCAGCTAAGAAGAAAGCAAGGGCTAAGGTTTGCTTCAGGAGGATTCCAGAAAACAACCTCATTTTCAGATCTTTCTTGAAGTCTTAAAACATCAGGCGGGGGCCGTGTCTTTTAGGCCTCACTCGGCCTTTCACTGGCAGGCCAGAAGGGAAAAGGCACCTCCTCTGGAGTAAGCAGTTCTAATGTGGAATAATGAACAATCCCTAGAATAATGATGTGTCTCCATAATTACTGAAATAGTGCTGTGTCAGTAGTATGTGACTAACCTAATGCGCATTACACTTGGATACAATGTATGTAGCAAACTCTCCATTGTAGACCCGTGAGAAACGAACCTAATGTATTACAATGCGTGTTCCTTTGTTCCTGAGAAAAGGAAAGTATAAAACTGAAGTCTGAACCCGCCCTCGGGGTTCAGAATTGCTTGTTGTTTTTTGCTTCTGAACCTGCGCAATAAATCTCTCTGCTAAAACCCTCTGGAATTCGTAAGAGTCCTTTCGTTTTCCACAAGATTTCTGCAACCAAAAAATTGGTGAAGCCAAGATCAAAACCACATTTGCCACAGGGATCTGGCTGAGCTGAGTTGACCTCAAAAAGAGAAGCGGCATCTGGCATTGGGACAGGAGGCCACTAGGAAATCCCAGAGCAGAAGTTACACTAGGAAGTAAAAAACAAAAAACCATCCCCAAAGAAGGCAACAGTCAATAGCTCCCTTACAGCTGGCAAGGGGGGAAAAAATGTCCCAGTATCTCCATGAAGGCAACTTCATCCAACGTGATCACCCCTTGTACTGCCTTGTGAACAAGATGCCGGGCGACAACAGAACCGTAATCCTGGGTGTGCATTTAAAGGCAGCTGCAGCAAAAGTGCTGGGGGGGGGGCTGGAATAAGCTCACCTTGCAAATGAGATCAGGAAGAGTAGAGAGATGGCTGTGGAAAAGGCTTCTGCATCGTATTTGGTGCCCAGGATGTCAATCAAACGCCCGATGTAATAGGGCAGGAATGTTTCACCTGCAAAGGGAGGGGGGAAGAACAGAGGAGGTGATGTAGGATCTTTATCAGGAAAGACAGCTTAATCCACACACACAAACACAAACACATACAAACACTGCAAATTGTACGTCTTGTTCTGTGTAATGGAAGGAAACCATGAGCTTTTTGCTCCAGGGTTCCCGCCCCAACTATGGAAAGAATGGGGCAGCCCCTCAAAATGGGAGAAAAGATGCTCGAATTGGACACTGAATGGGCCGAATGGAGAGTTTGGAAAACAGGACGCACCCTGGTGAAAGCGAGTTCAGAGCCAACGGCCAAAGCCTCCGGAATTCCACATTTTATCTGGGCAGGAACTGCTCCGTGGCAGGAGGCAACCAAGAAGGGAATCAGAGGGGATTCAGGGAGAACGTCAAAAGGAGCAGCAGAATTTCAAAGACTGAGGTCAGGTCTCTTAAAGACCTTTTGGTGACCTTTTGGTGCGACTGAATTATTTTATTTTCTTTAGTGTAGGGCAGCGGTTCTCAACCTGTGGGTCGGGACCCCATTTGGGTTCGAACGACCATTTCACGGGGGTCGCCAAACAACGCAGTCCGCCATTTTTTTCCCCTTTTCCTTAGCTGTGCTACTCCCTTTTATTCTACTGGCTTTTGAAAGCCAATAGAATAGACTCTCTTGAATAGAGTCTAATTCTATTGGCTTTCAAAAGCCAGTAGGAATTGTCCAGGCTGTCTCTGCCCTGCTGAGCCAGCCAAAAGTCCCATTCTGCAAACGGTGCTGCACCAGTTGAGTAGTCCTCGACTTATGACCGGTTGAGTAGTCCTCGACTTACGACCGGTTGGGGGTCGCGGCATTAAAAAGGTTGAGAACCACTGGTGTAGGGTGTGATTGCAGCCCTGGTGATTATTTGTGGTTCTCACAAGATTCGCGTTTCTCGCCATGCACACGTATGCATAACCCGAACTAGGCTGTTGTTTCTCTGTGTCATATAATATATGTAGGTCTATGCGTAATTCTGTATTTATTTATTTATTGATTGATTGATTTTATTGATTTATGGCATATTTATGTAGTGTTTATCGGAGATGGTGACTCTTTGAGAGCTGTACGCAATGACATTTCATTTTAATGTATGCCGATTAGTGTACGTTCAAGGTGACAATAAAGTTATTATTCTATTCTCTTCACTTATCCTGCGACACAGAGAATGATTTAATCCACCACCAACTCACCAATCACCGCCAGGACGAGGAACAAGAAAGCGCCAGTGAGATACAGCTTGTCTGGACGGAAAAGATGGAGCATCTTCCAAAGGGTGGCTTTGTCTTCTTTCCGGGACTCCTTTGGGCTTCGCCCTTCTGCCAGGATCCCCCAGAGGAGCTGGGAGAAGCCCACCGCCCCGTAGATTGCCAGCCACCAAGACCACGCGGCCGAAGAGACCAGGAGGGGAGGGTCCCCAAGCCAGTGTCCCACCAACAGGTAGAAAGGGGGCACGATGCTGACTGCAGCCACCGTGGAGAAGGACATCGGGGAGGTTCGACCCATGGAGAACAGACCCCTGACCCCGAAGAGAACCAGCAGTCGGAGAGCGGCCTCCAGCCAAGCTGCTGAGACCCCCAGTGGGACCAGGGAGGGGCTCCATCCATTCAGCAAGGAGAGCAGGATTCGGTCACAGAGAATCAGGGGAATTGCCTGAAACACGACAGGGACCAGCATCTTTCTGATGGGCTCTGGGGAGAAAGACGGAGGGATTACTGTTTATGGGAATCTGGGGGTTACGGATTTAAGAGGATCCCTGTATGAGATAGAATCAAGATCACATGAAGTATTAATACCACTTTACAATGCCTTGGTAAGGCCACACTTGGAATACTGCATCCAGTTATAGTCACCACGACGTAAAAAAAAGATGTTGAGACTCTAGAAAGAGTACAGAGAAGAGCAACAAAGATGATTAGGGGACTGGAGGCTAAAACATAAGAAACGGTGGCAGGAATGGGTATGTCTAGTTTAACGAAGAGAAGGACGAGGGGGGACATGATAGCAGTGTTCCACTATCTCAGGGGCTGCCACAAAGTGGAGGGAGTCAAGCTATTTTCAAAAGCGCCTGAGGGCAGGACAAGAAGCAACGGATGGAAACTAATCCAGGAGAGAAGCAACCTAGAACTAAGGAGAAACTTCCTGACAGTTAGAACAATTAACCAGTGGAACAACCTGCCTCCAGAAGCGGTGAATGCTCCAACACTGGAAGTTTTTAAGAAGAGACTGGACAGCCATTTGTCCGAAATGGTATAGGGTTACCACCTGAGCAGGGGGTTGGACTAGATGACCTCCAAGGTCCCTTCCAACTTTACTATTATTATTATATTTGGTTCCTCAAGTCAACTAAACTGCCTCCCAATTCTCTACCCTCCAAGATCCTGCATCTAATCAGAAAACTTCTCAGCAAAGGATTCCTGTGGCTGCAGCCTCAATATCCATTCTGAGTGCAGCAAATCTTGTGGCAATTTCGGGAAAGGTCACATTTACACTAATTTTGGCTTCTTTGGTTACAGCAGTGTTTCTCAACCTTGACAATTTTAAGGCATGTTGACTTCAACTCCCAGAATTCCACAGCCAGCAATGCTGGCTGTGAAATTCTGGGAGTTGAAGTCCACATGCCTTAAAATTGTCAAGGTTGAGAAACACTGGGTTACAGGCACCTTTCTGCGTATTTTAATTTGCGACACGTTCTCCGGTCCTAGGGGCACCCCAGCACTGCTCGTGAAGGCTGAAATCAGAATAACAAGCGTTGGAAGGGACCTCAGAGGTCATCTAGTCCAACCCCCTGCTCCAGCAGGACACCCTATATACCATTCCAGACAAGTGACTGTCCCGTCTCTTCTTTAAAAACCTCCTGTGATGGAGCACCCACAACTTCCGAAGGCAAGCCCTTCCACTGTTTCAGGGGTAGGCAACCTTGGCTCTTTTATGACTGGTGGACTTCAATTCCCAGAATTCCTGAGCCAGCCATGCTGAGGGGAAAGGGAGAAGTTTCCAAGCTGAGCCATGCTGGCTCAGGAATTCTGGGAGTTGAAGTCCACGAGTCATAAAAGAGCCAAGGTTGCCTACCCCTGCGTGACTGGTTAATTGTTCTCACTGTGAGGAAATGTCTCCTTAACTCTAGACCAGTGTTTCTCAACCTTGACAATTTTAAGGCATGTGGACTTCAACTCCCAGAATTCCACAGCCAGCATTGCTGGCTATGGAATTCTGGGAGTTGAAGTCCACATGCCTTAAAATTGTCAAGGTTAAGAAACACTACTCTAGATTGCTTCTTCGTTCAGTTTCCTTGGCAACAAACCCCAAAACTGTGAAAGAAGCATCTGAATATCCAGGTCGGTTCTTTCAGGCTAGTAAGGATTTGAACCCCGCTCCCATCCTCCGGAGTAGAGGCGCGACGCAAAACAGGAGCCCCAAAGTTTAGATCCCGCGCAAAGTAGAAAGAAACACGCCAGGGTTAGTTTTTAAGAAGGCAGGAAATCGGGGATCACTACCCAGCTACTTAAGGAGCAGGTGGACTGCGCTCCCCTCGTCCGCAGCCAGCATGAGCAGCCGTGCTGGATGGGAATGATGGAGAGTGGAGTCCCTCGCACCCCCTCGGAGCCGCTCAATCATCCAGATTAGTGCAACCCTCCGCTCTTTTTCCAGCCTCTCACCTTCCAGCAGCGGCCAGGAAAGTCCTTCCATGCCGGGCTTTTGATCCTTCTGGATCCGATGCCTCACTTCAGCCGTGCCGGGCTGGGTTTTCCCTCTCTTGTACACAAGGCTCACAGCACAGAGCCGAAAAAATCCCCCAACAAGTTGCTTTCGCTTTCGGTTTCAGCTTCTCGTTATGTCCCTGCGTCGTTGCTTTTTTCTGAGCTGCATTAGTTGCTAATAGTAATAGTAATAGTAGTAAAGTTGGAAGGGACCTTGGAGGTCATCTAGTCCAACCCCCTGCTCACGCAGGAAACCCTACACCATTTCGGACAAATGGCTGTCCGGTCTCTTCTTAAAAACTTCCAGTGTTGGAGCATTTACTGCTTCTGGAGGCAGGTTGTTCCACTGGTTAATTGTTCTCACTGTCAGGAAGTTTCTCCCTTAGTTCTAGGTTGCTTCTCTCCTTGATTAGTTTCCACCCGTTAGCTTCTTGTCGGCCTTCTGGTGCTTGAAATAGCTTGACTTCCCCTCTTCTTTATGGCAGCCCCGTGAGATATTGGAACACTGCTATCATTTCCCTCCCTTGTCCTTCTCTTCGTTAAACTAGACCATACCCCAATTCCAGCAACTGTTTCCTTATATGTTTTAGCTCCAGTCCCCTGATCATCTTTGTTTGCTCTCTCTGTGCTCTTTTCTAGAGTCTCAACATCTTTTTTACATTGTGGTGACCAAAACTGGATGCAGTATTCCAAGTATGGCCTTACCAAGGCATTGAAGAGTGGTATTAACACTTCACGTGATCTTGCCTCCTTGGAGCAATTCCAAGTGGCTGAAGGCCTGGCTCTTTGAGGAGCCCAATCTCCGGTTGTCTCTGCCCATCGCGAAGAGCGGATGCACCCCACATCCCATCAAATCCTAGTGCTAGTGGACAATCCCATACCATTTCAGACAAACGGCTGTCCAATCTCTTCTTAAAAACTTCCAGAGCTGGAGGATTCACAACTTCTGGTGGCAGGTTGTCCCACTGGTTAATGGTTCTAACGGTCAGGACATTTCTCCTTAGTTCACCAAAGCTCCAGAGGGCGGGACAAGAAACAATGGTTGGAAACTGATCAAAGAGAGAGAAGCAACCTTGAATTAAGGAGAAACTTCCCGACAGTGAGGACAATTAACCAGTGGAACAGCTTGCCTCCAAAAAAACCTTGGGCGCTCCATCGCCGGAGATTTTTAAGAAGACAAGTCACTTGTCTGAGATGGTATAGTCCTCCTGCTTGAACAGGGGGCTGGACTAGAAGACCTTGTAAGGTTTTCCACTTAGACTCACAATTGCCCCAGCATTACTCGGGAATTTAAAAGAGCCAAAGAAACTCCTGAGCCGAGGTTTCAGCAAGCAAACAACGTTTATTTTGATCAAAACAGAGCTGGGTGACCCCATCTCTCTTCGTGGCTGGTAGAGAGATGAAAGCAACAACCAGAAAAGATGTCTTCCACCTTTTATACCAGTGGTTCTCAACCTGTGGGTTGGGACCCCATTTGGGGTCGAACGACCATTTCACGGGGGTCGCCAAACAACGCAGTCCGCCATTTTTTTCCCCTTTTCCTTAGCTGTGCTACTCCCCTTTATTCTATTGGCTTTTGAAAGCCAATAGAATAGACTCTCTTGAATAGAGTCTAATTCTATTGCTTTCAAAAGCCAATAGGAATTGTCCAGGCTGTCTCTGCCCTGCTGAGCCCGCCAAAAGTCCCATTCTGCAAACGGTGCTGCACCAGTTGAGTAGTCCTCGACTTACGACCGGTTGGGGGTCGCGGCATTAAAAAGGTTGAGAACCACTGTTTTATACCTTTTCAGAACAAAGAGATCAGGTCTTGGTACCAGGCATAAGATGGCACAAAAAAACAATTTCTAGATGATGACTCATACACAGCAACCCAGGCTCCATCCGTAACCCCTTCCCCCCTCCCCTTACTGTGCTCTTTTCATAGAAGCAATCACCTATACCTAAAGCATGAAGCCCTTACTTTTCCTATATATATATAAAGCAGTGGTTCTCAACCTTTCTAATGCCGCGACCCCATAATACAGTTCCCCATGTTGTGGTTACTCCCAACCACTTATACATCACCGGGTGCCAGGGGCGTGGCGACCCCCGTGAAATGGTCATTCGACCCCAAATGGGGTCCCGACCCACAGGTTGAGAACCACTGATATAAAGCATCTGATCAAGCAATTAACTACAAAATAATGATTACAAAATAACAAAACAATGATTACAGCAGTTAAGAGTGCAGTACTGCAGGCCACTTTAGCTGACTGTGTTCAGCAGGTCAGCGGTTCAAATCTCACCGGCTCAAGGTTGACTCAGCCTTCCATCCTTCCGGGGTAGGTAAAATGAGGACCCAGATTGTTGGGGGCAATGTAAATATATATATACATTGCTTACTGGTGTACACCGCTTAGAGAGTGCTTGCACTTAAAGTGGTATATAAGTCTCACAAACAAACAAACAAACAAACATGATAACACTATAAGTATCAATATAAAATGGTTACTATATATAAAATAAATGCTAATGTCAGACTTAAACATACTAAAATCATAAGCACAATAAAATCCTTTCAACCTCCAAGGTCCCTTCCAGCTCTATTCTATTCTACCTAGTTCCAGGTTGCTTCTCTCCTTGATTAGTTTCCATCCGTTGCTTCTTGTCTTGCCTTCAGGTGCTTTGGAGAATAGCTTGACTCCCTCTTCTTTGTGGCAACCCCTGAGATATTGGAAGACTGCTGTCATGTCCCCCCTTGTCCTTCTCTTCGTTAAACTAGACATACCCAATTCCAGCAACCATTCCTTATATGCTTTAGCCTCCAGTCCCCTAATCATCTTTGTTGCTCTTCTCTGCACTCTTTCTAGAGCAGTGTTTCTCAACCTTGACAATTTTAAGGCATGTGGACTTCAACTCCCAAAATTCCACAGCCAGCGTTGCTGACTATGGAATTCTGGGAGTTGAAGTCCACATGCCTTAAAATTGTCAAGGTTGAGAAACACTGTTCTAGAGTCTCAACATCTTTTTTACATCGTGGTGACCAAAACTGGATGCAGTCATAATCCATGTCATAATCCAAAGTGACGGTTTCCCAGGTCTGCAGTTGAAATTCCTCGAACGGTGTTGCAGAATTTGGGACGGAAGCCCTAACCGTTCTCTTCAATGAAAGCAGCCCTTGAATCCTCTGTGGGACGGGAACTAATGAACAAATTATATACAATTAAAAAAAACATCATGATTATAATCATGATTCTCCAGGGATCCACATTCTCCCCAAAGAGGGATTCCTGCTCTCTGCTTCTTGTTCTTCGATCGCTTGCCAGTACCCTCCCCTCGTCTTCTGACTGCCAACACCCTGCAAACCTGGATTCAATTTTTAAACATGGATTATTTTAAGTTGCGGTCGAGCATTTCCTCGCGTGTTTGAATTCATCAAGAGCAGTGGTTCTCAACCTGTGGGTCGGGACCCCACTTGGGGTCCATCGACCATTTCACGGGGGTCGCCAAACAACACAGTCCGCCATTTTTTTCCCCTTTTCCTTAGCTGTGCTACTCCCTTTTATACTATTGCTTTTGAAAGCCAATAGAATAGACTCTCTTGAATAGAGTCTAATTCTATTGGCTTTCAAAAGCCAGTAGGAATTGTCCAGGCTGTCTCTGCCCTGCTGAGCCCGCCAAAAGTCCCATTCTGCAAACGGTGCTGCACCAGTTGAGTAGTCCTCGACTTACGACCGGTTGGGGGTCGCGGCATTAAAAAGGTTGAGAACCACTGATCAAGAGTGACGCTTGAGCAACCTGTCAGAAAATCCTCGTTAGTAGAAACTGTGAAGAAATTTCCCTGTTTAGTGAACGTGGGAATGGGGAGGTGTGGGGTTTGGCAAGGATAAAAACGTGAGTTGCGTGTATTTCCAGATAAAGTGGGGAAACCGACACAAGATTTAGCTTATGAACGAAGAGAGACCTGTGGCCCTTGCCAGAAGATCCTCAGAAAATTCCTCCAAAATTCTCTCTGAGGATTCAAAACAGGAATCGTGATTAATATCCATTTTATTTTCCACCATCAAAGGGATGTATTCTCCTTCAGACATCCAGACAACTTTTAAGTTACAAATCAGAGTCAAAAAAAAAAAAACGAACTCAAAAGCGGTTTACTGTTGCCCTGTAAAACAGTGGTTCTCAACCTTTCTAATGCCGCGACCCCATAATACAGTTCCCCATGTTGTGGTGACCCCCAACCACTTATACATCACCAGGTGCCAGGGGCATGGCCAAAGAAAAGGGGAAAAAAATGGCAGACAGACTTGTTTGGCGACCCCCGTGAAATGGTCGTTCGACCCCAAATGGGGTCCCGACCCACAGGTTGAGAACCACTGCTGTAAAAGGACAGTGGGAACGGTCCCCCATCCCTTTCCTCTCTGCCAGCCCTGACTGTCAGAAGATCTCCGTGCTTGTGGACATCAGCCCATCTCATTTCTTCTCCTCCAAATACTGGTGGAGCAGGTCACTAACATCCGTCCGTCCGACACGGATCCAGCCGCCCTCCTTCATGAGATACGCTGGAGGGCCGAGACACCGGCAGAAGGTCAGTAAGGGACAGTGCAAAACGAGGCTAGTCTAGTGAAGAGAAGGACCGGGGGAGACATGATAGCAGTCTTCCAATATTTGAGGGGCTGCCACAGAGAGGAGGGGGTCAACCTATTTTCCAAAGCACCTGAAGGCCAGACAAGGAACAACGGATGGAAACTGATCAAGGAGAGATTCAACCTAGAAATAAGGATAAATTTTCTGACAGTGAGAACAATCAACCAATGGAACAGAAGTTGCCTTCAGAAGTTGTGGGTGCTCCATCAATGGAGGCTTTCAAGAAGAGACTGGACTGCCATTTCTGTCACAAATGGTGTAGGGTCTTCTGTTTAGGTGGGGGGGGGGTTGGACTAGATGACCTGCAAGGTCCCTTCCAACTCTGTTATTCTATTCTATTCTGTTCTGTTCTGCTATTCTATTTTATTATTCTATTCTATTCTGATCTGTTCTGATCTGATCTCTTCTAATTTTATTCTATGCTATTCTATTTTCTATTCTATTCTATTTTATTCTGTTCTGTTCTGTTCTGTTCTATTATTCTATTTTATTATTCTATTCTGATCTGATCTGTTCTGATCTGATCTCTTCTAATTCTATTCTATTCTATTCTATTTTCTATTATATTCTATTATATTCTATTCTTATTCTGTTC